GCCGCTGCCGCCTTGTCTCCCAAGCTTGTCTCCCTTCATGATTTCGCCTCTGCCGGCTTGTCTTCCAAGCTTTTGTCTCCGTTCATGATTTCGCTCTTGGCTGCCGCTGCCGGCTTGTCTCCCAAGCTTGTCTTATTTCATGATTTCGGTTTTGGCTGCCGTTCCCGCCTTGTTTGTGAAGCTTGTCTTCCTTCATGATTTCGCTCTTGGCTGCCGCTGCCGCCTTGTCATTTTCTTGCCTGCCTTTGACGCGGATGCCGCTATAAGATGATTTAGGTCTTGTTTACCTTTTCCATCCTTTTCCCGGCTTTGAGTGGGATGTCTCCCAAGCTTGTCTCCCGCTCTTGCCATGCTATCCTTTTCTTGAAGTGCTATCTGGGGTCTATGCCGGTATAGCTTTTGTTTTTCGGAATTGAGCCGGCTTGAAGGTGGGGTCTAGATTTTGTTAGGCGTCACAGTGTCACACGTAGGTAAAGTTGTTGCCAAATGTGTTGCCTGGTGTTGTGATGAAGACAAATTGATAAACCGTGGTGAGAGATGTAGTTATATAGTGTCATCTACCCCTCTAGTCCTCAAGACAGTGCATTAGACCCCACGATCTCATTCCTTTTTTCGCTAGAACAAACTACAACTATAACATTCACCTGTGAATTCCTTCTAGTCAAGTCCAATCCGACCATCCACTTCATCCGAGGAGTCCGAGCTGGGTGTGCAGCCGCCCATCGGCTTCTGGGACCCCTTGGGCTTCACCAAGACCGACGACGCGGCCTCCTTCCGCCGCCGCCGCTATGTGGAGCTCAAGCAGCTTGGGCTCGGAGGGGTGGTGGGGACCCCTGTCTACCACTACCAACCACTACCAAAGCCCTATAGATAGCAACATCTAGCGTGCCAAAAGTTCCAAAAAGGTCCACACTACCACACTACCACACTACCACTACCGCTAGCACGACCACAACCACACTACCATACCACTACCACGCTACCATACCACTACCACACTACTGTACCACTACCACGCTACCACTCTACCACTACCGACGAGGTAGTTGGCCTAGTTTCTTTTTTTTGGTCAGGCTTTCGCCCACTCAACAGCAAAACCATCCGCTCAAGCAAACTGTTTTGTTTCCAGTTTGTTCTCAGCAACAGCGCCACCACACCACACACGAAACAAACTCTAGTGTATATTGACACTGGCACACCGTCAATCATGACTTTCCTTTCTAGCGACGCATCATCCCAATCTCTCCCTCCCATGCGGCCCGTGCGGCTTTCACCGCAGTCAGTGGCAATAAGAACATGTCTGCCTTGATTTGAAAGGCATGCCAGTGCTTTGTTTTTGCCTCGGAAAGGGGGCTTCCGCCACTTCCGATGAGTTCGATCGATTTTGGAACAGCTGGAATATATCATCCAGTCCGCGATCCAAAGCAGACCACCGACGTGTCGATGAGATGATTTTCCCAGATCCTCAAGATCTATACCCCACGAAAGTCGCCAAAGTTGGTTTTTGAGACTGTGGGTTCCCAAGGCATCTCTAGTGGTTTTAGTGCCCAGTCCATCAAGTGCCTTTTTTTGTTTTACCATCTGCGGAGATGATCAATAGGTCCATTCTTTCCTTCCATGCAATTCTTTGATGTGGGCAGTTGGGTTCAATCCTTGAGTGTTGTTTTGGTCTCAGGTTCTCCAGAATCCATGCGCATAGAGGAAGAGTACATAGACACACGGACAACAACTTACAGTATCAGCCCAGGAACACCAGGGTTCTTGGGTCCCTTGGGTTGATGTCCACACCTTCCGGGGCTGACCCCTATACTATACGTAACCCAATGATTTTACTTCAAGCAATCCCGGACCAGTTTTGTCCTAATATGAACGTCGATGCAGAGTGCAAAGACGGTGTTATTATCATTGTGCGAGTGTTGTCCATCTAATAGGTTGGAGGCCATCGCTACTAGGTTGGAGGCCATCGCTATTAGGTTGGAGGCCATCGCCATTAGGTTGGAACCTCAGTCCTCAGGCGTTTCCGGTGTCCACAGCAGTCCTCAGGCACGGACGTGTGGCCATGTTCGCCTGCCTGGGTTACATTGTGCCCGCACCTTGATTGATTTGGGAACGTCTGACACAGGCCCATGTTCTTCAGGCATGTGTGCCGATTAGCAGTGCTCTTGTTTGTGTGGCCTCCCACCAAAGCTTGTCAGATATCAGCTCCAGAGTTTAAACCACGAAGCATGTTTAGTGCCGTGCACTAGATCAACGACCTGTAGGCTATAGCAATTTGAACCATTTGAAGGCAGTCGAGTCATGTCATTCATTTTTTACTTTGAGTGGCACACTCAAAGGATCAGCTTTTGCTTTGGTGAGCACAATTATACCACATATGAGTCATATGAGGATTGTGAATTTGTATGACATGTTGCCAGTTTGTAGCAAATCCTTCGGGCCTTGATGTTGGTGATCACAGCAAACCGAACACAGCTGTGTCTCAGGAGTACTTCCGCTGGCCTGGCGACCTCTCGCCATCATTGGGCTTGAAATTCACGGATGTTCCCACAGGCACGGATGGTGTGATGGGCTGGGGGGGCGGAATGGGCTGTTGGGTTGTGGGCAGGTTGATGAAGGCTGCTTGAAAGGCAAAACCGGCAAAGCAGATTGCATTCTTTTCTTGGCAAGTAACAAAGGATGAATGTGGGACGTGTGGTCAAAGAAGGACAAACCGATGAGGTTGGCGACTCCACTCTGATGTGGCCGGCACCACGGCGCAGGCTTCGCAGCCTTTGAAAAGGTGCCCCTGAGCGGCTGGGCGCAGATGGTTTTCTTCGCCGGCTCCGTGGAGCTCTTCCAATACGTGGCGGAGCCAAAAACACAAGCGGACCTGACACGAAACGAAAAGCAGACCTCGAAGCGAACGAAGGGTAGCATTCGATGCGCTGCGTGAACGCGTCGCGAAGCGTTCGATACGACCCGCGTTCGAAGAAGAGTGCAGCAGGCAGTGTTGGAGCCGTCCGATTGGTGGGATGGACGAGGTGTTCATACCTGGCACTGGCATGGTGGATGGCCATGTTAAGCAGAAAGCCACCGTGTCAACGTGTCTTGCGATCAAACTCCCGAGCCCACTGGCACACACCCGTATCAGATACCTGGCTTATTCCAAGATTTTGAAGGGTTGCACATGTTCTTTTCTTTCACTCAAGGCTGCCGAGAGCTGGAGATTTGCTCGGAAAAGGCTTTGCTTTGAGCCGGAAAGCACGCTCTCGGACTGAACAGCCGTTATTCCTTTTTTTCACCATTTTGTTCTCTGCATTGCATGACCAGGTGGATGATCCCAAGCGTGCCCCGGGCGACTTTGCGAACGCCGGGTTCTTGGGCGTGCCCAACAGCTACGTCAAGGCTGGGTGGCCAGAATGGAGTCGCCATGGTGGAAGTGGGACCATCCCGTGTTTGGTCGTGTGAACATGACTTTCTGTCCCCGGGATCTTGATGCCTATGTGGCCATCAACAACAAAGATGATCTAGCAAGTGCAAAAAGAAACTGCATCCCCATAAGACTTCTTCACATGGGCACCTCAATCTCTTTTGCCATGCCTTCATCCCGATGGGTTTCATGCGGTCATAGCTCGATTTTGCGGTCTCATTCAGTGCCCCGATCCTGACTCAGATTGTCCTACCACTTGGGCAGAACCAATCTGAACCAGCTCTTTCTTTTGCAATTGTTTCCGGTTCTCATCTCCCAATTTGGAAAGACCAGGACGGCATCACATTTCAGGCAAGCATACGCTTTTCGACAACATCATGCAATTTCTCAACAGTATGTCGAAAAGCAAAGCTGCAGCCATGAGTCTTCTACATTGACTTTTGAGAGGAAATGCACTAGAGGTATCTCCCGCAGACCAATGTTTCCGCATGCAGACAAAGTCTTAAACTTGTTGCAGGAATATGCTGCTGGTCCGGCACAATCACAACCTCTAACTTTATTTAGTACTGCCATGTCGCGTCACCAAATTTCAGCTTCAGGTTCCTTCGTTCTCGATTCTTGAATGGTCGTTCGACAAAAGACGTAAATTTCAGAACCAAGTGCGCAAACACATAGGCTGAAGAAACGCATCGATTCTCTTTTACCTAAATGCCAATGGCCGACATAATTTTGAGCTCGTTTTCAAGTTATATAAATGCAATTTCGGTTTCACGGAATCTTAGGTAGATGTCTTTTTGTTAAACCGGTCTTAAACCGTCTGAACAGGTGCATAGCTATCTCATGTCTCATTTGTTCATAGTTTGTCTTGAACCCGGCGAAATATCAAGGGGCTAGACAGAGTGGTAAGCCCGTACGATGTGGTGTAGAGGAACATGGTCTTTCCAGGTTGGATGGAGAGTTGTTCAAGAGGGTCTACCCTTCCAAACTGCCTCCGAGCTATCCACTTGCGCCTGTCCTGGTGGTTGATTTCCAAGCGTGCTCCATGCTCCACTTTTGGTTGGAACATGGCCAGCTTGGGATCCAATCAACGGCCTACGGGCCTAGCTGGGCCCGTCGTTGATGTCGGAAAGATCAATACCATCAACGTTTGTTGCTCTGAAGTAGATCGAACATCGAGAGTTTTCCGTGTGCAACCATAGACATCAATCGATCTATTGATGTCACCTGGCATGGCAGGCTGTCCAAATCCCTTCAGGCAGTTCCGTCCCCCCCACCCTCGTGCCGCGTCGAGCCGAGCGGAGCCGAGCGGACCCCGCGGTCTGGACGGAGGCGCCGGAGGGCACCAAGGAGACGAAGCTGGCGGCGGAAATCGCGAACGGACGCCTGGCCATGATGGCCATCATCGGCATGTTCTTCCAGAACGGGCTCACAGGCATGGATCAGTTTGGTGGAATGGTGGAAGTGGTCGCTTGGGTTAGCTGCTAGCTGGAGTGGAGGTGTGCAGTGTGAGAAACCTGGAGAAAGAGGGTTGAAAGAGTGAAGAAGACTCCAAGCGTAATCAAGGGAGGGAGGACCAGACTTGTGTGAAAGCACCTGTGAGAAGAGGAAGCTCCTCCCCAGCCCTCCCCGAAGGAGGAGGAACTGTGCGAGGATTCATGAGAACGCCTCCTCAGTGGCTGTTACATAACGAGGATTAACGGGGTAAGACTCCCAGATTGGTGCGGGGAAAGAACAAAAGAATCCAAAGACAGAACACCATGGGGTCCTAGTTCATGTCCATCAGAAGAACTTCTCACACATGATCTTTCCGCAGATGGATGTGGAATAGCGATGGCTTCCAACCTTACTAAGAGTGGCCTCCAACCTAATAGTGATGGCCTCCACCCTAGTAGCAATGGCCTCCAACCTAACAGCAACTATACTAGACCTTTCATGACCTGTCTTCTATTTCTTTTTCTTTGACCAGGATCACCTGATGCCACCAGCAGTGTTCTACAACCCGTCACGACCTCCAGTTACGCCAGGCCAGGCCTGGGGTGACTGGTCCCTCTACACGGATTCGCCCCTGCGGGCTCTGACGCCTGCACAGGTGGCGGGGGATTTCGCGGCCGGGCTTGTGAGTTGGGCGCATTTCCGTGGCCATCTTTGGGCAACATGTTGCCTAAAGATGTTTGGCAATGGGTTTACCTCACGGGATTCTTGATTCTTGGGTAGGTGGTATGGGAATAGATCGATAAGCGGATAAGCCTTAAGGATTTGAAAGATTTCCTGCCCCTATGCGGGTTCATCGGCGAACTTCGGTTTCAGCATGGTCAACCAAAAGCTGCAGGAGTGCATCGCAGGGACTGGTGGCCCTTTGCCAGACATGTTCTGGGACCCTGCTGGCATCAGCAGCAAGAAGAGCAAGGAGGTGGGCCATCGGGCTGAATGGGAGGAATTGAGCATCAAATGGTAGGATTAGCTTCGCTGAAAAAAACTGCAAAAAGGTGGAGAGTGAAGAAGGCTTTGAGAAGAAAATCAATGCATTGAGACCATTCTGCTTGCAGACTTCCCTGCCATTCATGCCTCTTCATTTCATTGTTTTTCTTGGTGTTCAGCAGGGAATTCGCTGAACTGATTGATTTCATTGGAAAAATGGCTCCCCCCCCGCGAAAATGGCTTACTCAACCCTCCGTTCGGTTTCACCGCGCGAGGAGATCTTGGAGCTCCGCGCCCAGGAGTTGAAGCATGGCCGTGTGGCGATGTTGGCGTGCATCGGTTGGTTCCATGTGGCCGGTGGCTTTCACATCATCGGCGACTACGTGGCTGAATGGTTACGAATATGTTTTTTTTTGTTGTTGTTTCTTTTATGTTGCTGGACGATTTTGTGAGTTCGGTTGGTTTGGCACGTTTTGCTTTGGACGCGTGTATTTTGGTGGAGCTGAACTGATGATGAGTAGTGAGTAGTGTGATTCTTGCCCAACAGCAAGAGCTTGGAGTCTTCAGCTGGATTGAAGCTGTTTCCACGCTCCGAAAAGGCATTGTACAGCCACAGTGTGCAATATCCTTTCCACTATCTGAATCCAGAAGAAACATGTTTTTGCGACACACACACACACACATGCACACAAAGACACACACTGCATGTAGAGTTCAAGTGTGTTGGTGTGTTCAGAGAACCACTCAGAAGGGAACCAGCGCTGTTTGTGCACATGTTTTGAAGGAATCATTTCTTCGTCCTGACCCAGGCCGTCGGTGTGCACTTGGATGACAACCCTTTGGTGAGCTTGACCCAGATGCCAATGGGTGGCATTTGGCAGGTGCCTGTGGCAAGGACACATCAAAACAAGTTGCCGAAGGAAAGTGATGGTTGCTTCGAAGAGCTTCGCACGGGTCTCGAAACTAGAGGGCTCAAACGTAAACGTAGACCCTTCAAAGAGATGGAAGATCAGCACCCCTTTGGACTATTCTCTTCTTCTTCTTCCTGAGTTGACATGGCGGTAACCATGCAGGTTGGATGGAATCAACCCACCCTGTTGGCCTTGTGGGGAATTCGTTTTGTAACCCACACCACTCATGGAGCTGCTCAAACTTTGCCGGAAGGTAATACCCAACTTGAGAAACTCTCAGGCTGCTGCTTCTCAAAAATCCTAGTCACAAGGTCAGATGCACATGTTTTGAGAAGCAAAAGGAATGGTCGATGAGAAAACCTCTGCAAAGTGCGAAGTGCAGCAAGACTACTTCAACAACAGGAGCAGGAGGGCTTCAGAATCCCCCAACTACGAATCAAATTATAGGCTAGGTCCAGGTATATATGTCTATGAATCAACCATGAATGGTTTTAAGAGGTCAGATGGAGATGAGACTCTTTATCCCTTGCATAGATTCCTTCCTCGTTCCAGGCTCTTCCGGATTTCGACGTCCACCCAAGCCAGGTGGTCTTCACGATCATGTGCCTTGAGTGGCTCACCACCTACATTTGCAAGCCTCCGGCAGAGAAGCCCTGGGACATCCTGGGCTGGTCTGACATCCTCATTGAGGATGAGAAGAGCATCTGGAATCAGTTCAGGAAGGCTGAACTCCAGGAGCTGCTGAAACGGACCTCTGCTTTTGGCCCCTTGTTGTGTCCTTGAATGACCCCAATCGGTCATGGTGGACGCCCCTTTGAAATCGGAGATTCTTCACTGTGGAACCAGTTGGGGGATCCTTTTCCATGCTTTGCTCGGGGATTGTCGCTTAATTTCGTCCGTTTTGAGGGGATCGGTTGGATCCAAAAGGGAGGGATCCAACCTCCAAAAAAAGGCCAGGGGTCATGAAGAGGATCCATTCATCCTTTCGGGACCATGTTATCACCTTGCACGATGATTCCAGGAAGGATATGGGGGAAGGCTGTTGGGGGGTTGACGCCCAGGGCCAGGTACCACGTGTCGGACGAGTCGCTTCGGGAACTGGTGCTGTTGATGCACAATGCGGTTCTGCTTTGCCTCGTTCCCTAAGACATAGCCAAGTGAAAGGAGGAGCCAAGCACTCCCAGAGCCCTGAGCCGTTGGGGAGGACCAGTTCTTGTATCAGGTGGTGCAGGGAACATGTGATCCTTAGCGGCTCACACGATTCTGTGTGGCGTGAAGCGCAGTGAAGGGGTTCCTTTCTATGCAAAATAAGTTCACAGTCTCTTGCTCCAACAACATCAAATGTTAAGTGCTGCAGGAGTTTCCAAAAGGCTTGAAATTTGAGAACGGTTCTAACAATCTCAGTGCCTTTCGCCCATCCAGGAGTTGAACAACGGCCGCCTGGCGATGATGGCCATTGTCGGGTTGATTACCCAGGCTGGGTCCGGGGCCAGGTGGATGGCAGTCCCCAAATCCATCAAAACACCAAGATATTTAGATTTCCACAATGAAGCTTATGGGCGCGCACATCAATCAGGTGGTCTTGATCACAGATAGCACACTCCTGGTCCATCCTGGTAGGTTGGAGGCTATCGCCCTTAGGTTGGAGGCCATTGCTTTTAGGGTGGATGCCATCCTGAATCCTGGTACTCCCGACCCGCTTGTGACTTGGTCCGCGTGCTGGCCGGGCCTCCCGCGCCACAAGCAGGATGTCCTCTTCGGCGAGTATGGGCAGCGCTTTGCACAGCTCTCGTGGGACAAGAACTTCTTCCCCCCCGGACCAGGGTGTCTACGAGCCCTTTGCCACGTTCTCCTACCCGACCATCTTCCCAGAGCTCTGAGATGGCCAAAGATGAGGGAAAGATAGGGTTTCACAGACGACCGCCTCTGGCTGCGATTTTTTGCCAAAGATGGGTGATTTGGGACGGACATTTGGGGATTAATGATGAATACTGCATCATGAAGCAAAACAAAACACGACCGGCGGACGGGCCATAAGGAACCTCAACAGGACGACCCTGACATGCTCCTTTTTTTTAGGCCTGAACTGAGTCGCTGTTAAACGTCCGAGTTGACAGCTGTGGGGCTCAAAGAGAGAAGCCTCCAAGTGGGTCCCTTTTGAGGCCCGATGTTCAACACGGGAACATGCTATAGTTAGAGTTCTTTTCGCCGAAGTCATGGAATCATTTGATAAATCACCAACACCCACACCCGCACACCCACACAAAAGTTCCTGTTTTCACTTGTCCCCTGTTGTGCTGGGGCCTCAGCAAGTTGTTGACCAACAGACCACATGAGTTCTTCACGCACCCAAAACTCTTCAGTCTTTAGTCCATAGGTCTCCTATTTGAGATGCCCAATGGCTGAGACAACACCTCCACCGATCCTGGGGTAAATAGAAGACTAGTGTCCCCTTGACGTACATGTGCATGTTCCAAATTCTATCTCTTAGATGATTGTACATGCAGGGGTCCTGACATCTACCTCTCTAGGACTGGAATCATTTTTGACACATTCCCAACGGTCGCGCTGTCCCGTCCATCGCTGGGTGGAGCCATGCCGAAGGGCGATGGCCTAGGCTTCGTGTCCAAGGACCGTCGGAGTGGGCCGAACCACTGGTCTTCGTTGGGCCTAGTAGCGTCCGATCGCTCCTAGTAGTAAGGCCAGGAGACCCTAGTGGCATCCCTGCTCCTAGTAGCGATGCCAGGAGACCCTAGTAGCTTCTTGCTCGTAGAGGAAATTCGGAGATTCGTCTTTGACATGCTCGCCTTGTGGGGCTCCACAGCTTTGGGAAGAAGAAATCAACCCTTCTCACAGCTTCCATCCATCGCCGGGAACGAATCTCCGGCCTGCGCGGGCGCCCTGGTGCCTGTGAAAATCCGATGGAACCTCCGAACCTCCCGAGGACTATGCGGATCTCTTTCGCGAGCTGCGGGGTGACCTGGCCAACAAGGCACCCTTGCGGAGGGAGTGAAGGAAGAGAAGCTTCACAGAGAGGTGTACTTGCTCCACCTTTGTTCCATGAAGCTTTTCCAAGAGTGGGTCCTGTTCTTTTTTACCTGTTCTTTGATTGAATTCATATCTCAGTTTTTTTTGAAGTATATATGATTGGGAGTATTTTGGTCAGAAGCATCGCAGCAGAGTTTCCAATTGGTACGTGTGAAACAAACATGGAAAACGGTAAGCTCACCACCTGGTCAGGATTTTTTTCCCTTTAGGGAGGCGGAGTGGGATCCGATTGAACAACAAAGTATAACAAAGTATACCCAGGCTTTTGCACCTTTTTGTTCACTCACCCGCAATTTTCAAAACATGGACTAGCACGTTCAAGCATGTCAATTCCATATTTGTTTTTGGTTCAGCCATCTCTGCTGTCAAAACCAACAATCAGGATGCTCTAGACGTTTTCGCCTGGGTTTTCGCATCCGGTGAAAAAACCCTTCGACCCACCGATGTCAGACAGGAGCCGAGCTCACTGAAGCCGCCCTACCGCGTGGCCAGTGCCAAATGGCCGAGCTCCACGCGCTCACCGTCCCCCGTGGGCGTGCTGCGGATGAAGCGGCTGGGCCATGACGACTGGACCTGAGTGGTGATGACTCCGAAATCGCAACCTCCAGGTCAACTGATATGTGGGACATCTCGCCAAAATCCTCTCCACCTTGAATCTTGAAAATGCTTCGGTCTGCCGAACTCTGACTTTCAGACCCACTTTTGGGCCGAAGAAAAATACAAATCTTCATCATCTTTCACCCAGTGGCGGTGCACATCATGAGCTCTGCAAGGAAGTTCTCTTCACGAAAGAATGCTGTTGCCATGTCAGGAACGGGAGAGGCAGACTGTGGGCGGGGCGGCATTGCTGTTCCAAACTGCACAGCTCAAGGTTATCCTAGAAAGTTCTCTATGCCCCTTTGTCACTATTAACACTTGCATACTTTGGATTGGCAGCTGCCATGGCTTGCTGAAAATGCCTCAAACACCTGCTTCACCGGTAACTGGAGCATGGGCAGCGCGCTTTACGTTCCGCACCCTGAGGATTCGCATGCCTGGGGATCGCTTCCCCATTGACGCAGTGGTGCAGGGGGGAGTACATGAAGTGGAGCATCGTGGAGGCAGAACCACCGAGCGCTCTTAGGGTGGAGGCCATCGCTATAACCGCCGAGTTGGAACACTTTCCGTTTCGACTCATGGGAGGCTCAACGGTCGAGTTTTGGGTGGGAGGCTTTTTGAGTCGGGTTCCGAGTGCAGCTTGGTGTTTCACCATGTTTCACCCCCAAATGACCCCGTCTAGAGTCTAGAGGTTTCACTTTGTTTTCTTTTCAATGGCCGTACGATGCTCGTTGGTCAATCCGTCAGGAAGCAAAAAGGAGATGTGAAGACGAAGATACAAAGGAAGACCTGTTACTACTAGTAAGGCACTTGTTACTACTAGCGTGGCACTTGTTTCTACTAGCGTGGCACCTGTTACTACTAGCGTGGCACTTGTTTCTACTAGCTTCTTGTTACTACTAGTAAGGCACCTGTTACTACTAAAGTGGGTCTTTTGGAGTTCGACCATTTTGAACGCCATCTTGATGCATGTACCAAGGGGCGTGCCCTTGGTCGAACTGGCCTCTAAAAGGGGGTGTGTCCTTTGACCTAAACATATCACACATACGAGGATTCTGTGCACAAATACCGAAGACCGTTCTTGATAGCCCATCTACACAGCAGTCTTCCCAACTTGCGAAGACTAAGGGCCCAACTCGTTTGAGGATTTCTGACTACCGCGACCGGGTCATCTTCAAGTATCTTCTATAGCTCAAAGTGAGGGCTCCAAAGTTCACTGAGTTGAAGTCCAGTGCCGCGCCAGGCACTGATGCAATCTTTCAAGAAGCTGTTGACACTCAGCTGATACAGGGCCAGTCTTGGACAGAGCTCACGGATAGAACCAACCATGATGTTGAAGTACATATTTACTGCACCACCCAAGAAACATCAAGAAACCCTACAGCAGCTGCAAGAACCATTCTCAGGTGGTACAGGATTTTGTATTAGTTTTCACCAAAGCACGAATATCGTGAGTCCTTGAATCTGGTGGAGTTCTCATCACCGATGTAGTTATTTACCAGATGGGATAATTCTCTGATGAATGTATAGGATGAAATAGAAGTGATCGAACTGCTACTGATAAGCGACAAAACTGTGTCGGGAGCCTCTGTTGTTCCAAGCATGCATAGAATCATCAACACTTTTTAAAAGCATCCCTTTGAATAGCTACACAGATGCCCCCGGCCCGTCCAAGGAAGATTCAGATCAACACCGGCAGCATCCTAATGTGCACTGACGAGATCAAGATCCTGGAGGTTCCAGCCTAAATGAGTGGCACAGCACGTGGGGTTCCACGGGGTTGTGGCTTCCTCGCCGATGGTTCCCCTTCTCTAGCAACCGGCTTTTCCACTTCCCACCGGCTTCAGCCTATCAAAATGTGTCTTTTCGGCTCCATTGTTGTGAGGTTCATACGCCCTCGATGGCGGGGAACCTGTGGCAGTTCTGTGAGTTTCGCTTTGATTACCAGGCGCACGCCAGGATTTGATTCTGAGACAAGGAGTGATCTTCAAGATTCGTCAAGTGTATGGCTCAACCATGGATGAGAAGATGACAGTTTGAGAATGCTTATATTTCATACTACTTTCCCTGCTGGGCTTTGCTGCTTCAAAAGGCTACAGTAAGAGGCACCGCATGTTCTCTGACCTTATTTCATCGACATTGGGCTTGACGAAGTCCAGTTCGCGGAACTGGAATCTTCTTCCCTGGCGAGAAAGAATGATGCCAAGAGAGAACAGAAGTATACAGAAGTCAACTGAGTCCGCTGAGTTAACTGAGGATAATAGATATGGAAAACTCACCAAACCGATAGTATTTGCAGACCCGAAAAAATCCAATGTCCTATTATGTCCCATTAGTTTTTGCAGTTCGCTTTGACCTTCCATCACATCCCAGATTTGGATGCTCCTTCGATGCTGCCCCAATGATTGGTCCTCTCTCTGCAGGTGGCTGTAGAGGAGGAGGCTGCCTTGGCGTTGGTCTCTGGTGTGCCGGAGGCTTAGTAGATGATAGCATTTTTTGGACTATCCAAATTGCCCTCTGACACCTTTGTAACAAACACCTGGTAGAGTGATCTCATCTTCCAAACCTGTTCGTGCGTGCGATGCTGGTTTTCACCTAGCAGGGCCACAGTGCCCCCCTACTAGTATCACATCACCTTTCGCATGTGAGTGCCTGATTCCTTTGATATTCCGGGATTGGCAATTTCTTCTTAAAGTTACACATCTGAAAAGTTGCACCCCAAAACTCCACTGGTAGGACCCGCCTCATGATTTTCAGGCGCCCCTTTTTTGGACCCCCCCAAAAGCCGGTCCGCGCGCGAGTGGGTCATCCGGAAACCCTCGAGAACCCGGAGTCTTTGTCACATGTAGTAGATTCTCTAGCAACTCAGAAGGAAGTTAGTTAGGAAGATTATCTTTCTCTATCAGGTGATTCTTCTGTTAGCATCTATAACGGGGCCTCTTGTAGATGAGCACGGCGGTTTCACTGCAAAGACGGCGCATTTCTCTTCCCCAAACTTCTTAAGGAGCTGACCATGAGTAAAGCTAGTTTGGGTGGTAGTACAGGGGGTGAATGCGACTTTCATTTGCGAAACTTAACCGTTAACCTCCACTTCTGAGGTTCAATCGCATGGCAGACTTTGAGGCAAGCTTTTGCCAGAGTCTGGAGTTGCTTGGAGAAGACAAGCGTTTGCTCGTATCAGGTCAGGTGTGTCAGAGGCAAACATCAGTAGCACATTTGGCAAGAGGACTTGAGGGTAGGTGCAGTGTAGATCCATTTGGGGTAACAAATTCGGTGAGCCTTTGGGCCCTTTCAAATGCCGTGCAACGCACCAACCTGAGAAATCTTTGGATTACAAGAACCAGCAATTGAGTAGGATGATGAGCCACTGACCAACCACTTCCTACGCCGTCAGTGGATAACCTTTGACCTTTTGTATATTTTTCCTGAAGCAAAATGACACAATATAGCTACTAGTAGCTTCAGAAGCTACTAGTAGTAATGCCCTTGTTCGTAAACAACACCCTTGTTACGAGAGTGATTTCCCCATTCCAAACGAAGTCGAAAAAGGAAGAGCTTCACCGAGTGCCGGGTCACCGAGTCCAAGGAACAAGTTTCGCGAGATCTACCACCTCACAGCACCCGGAATGGGACCGGAACGGGATGGAACAAACGGCACCGGATTGGAGATTCCACGGTTTTTCCACCCGATTGGATCCCAAGATTGGTGATCAGAGACTTTTGAATGGACTTTTGATTGGTAGATGATGTTGAACCCCATGGTTCGTGGTAGATTCCAAAAGGCAGTTTTCCTTTTGGTGCTCCTTTGTGCTCTCACATTTTTGGGTGAGAGTTGGAAGGTCCTGTGATCTCAGACGAACGTGCGCGAACGTGCGCGAACTGGAGCTCCGCGCCTGAAGTCGAAATTTGGTTCTGAAAAAGGAAGGAACACGCGAAAAGAATCCAGTTGGAAGTTGGGCATATATAGTTATGTTTGCGAAAGAAACCCACCAACTTCTTTGAAGAATCATATATATATATATATGTAATCAATTTGAGGGCAGGCTGAATGAAATTACTTCTCAACATTGAAGTCTGTGAGAAACTTTATCTGGATAGTTATTACAGTCTAATTCTGCTGCCTTAAACAAAGAGTATATTGGCACTTCATCTTTGGCATCACGATCGACGTGGCCCCAAAGATGGCTCGTGGAAGAGACTGAAGAATAGGAGGGGCTGAAAAACAGTTGCTGTGCGTTCAGACGGGTGTGTCTCATTCTTGGAAATGGAACTGTCCCAGGTACTCGGGCTCATCAACAAGCGCTTTGCACTCATGGATGGTCGAGCCGTTTGGAATCAGCTGCAATTCTTTAAGGTGAGCTGTGAAAGCCTCTGGGAAGAACAAGATACAACAAGTAATTCTGTCTCGAAACCACCGTTGTAAATTAACAACAAGTACTAGTAGCTAGAAGCTACTACTACTAGCTATGATTCTTCCCAGAGATTGTGATTCTACAGATGAACCTTCCTTTGAGCAGCAGAGAGGCCGCCACACAGCGGTACGGGTGATGCGTCAGGCAGCGGAGGTCAACGACACCAACGAGATCACCCGACTCTTGAAAGAGGTGGACGTGAATGCTGTGCAAAAGGAGATGTGAGGGTTTGGTGTCCGAGACTCATGTGGAGAAAGGATCTGTTTGTGCAGATCCATTGGAAAAGGTTGATCTTTTGGCCCAATGGTCATGGCTTCATAGTCATCTCATTGGCATATGCATTCAGGAGCCCAGTGGAAGGAGTTGGACAAGTTTATGTTGAAACAGACATCTTTGAGTCATGATGTGCCATGCCGAACATTCAACGCATCTGAGATCGAGTGGTGGGTTGAAATGACTGGGACGCGCAGGAGATCCGTTTTCCTCAAGGTGTACTAGATGAGGACATCAGAAGCAGATTTTATGCGCCGAATTTCCGTCGATTTCGTGATTTCGCTGGGACTTGCTGGTATTTTTCTAGAAGGGAAGAAGACGAGCTGAAGATCCTGGCTCCTGATTCAATTCTTTCTTGTATCCACCTATGCGTAGGGATAGATTCGCATCCCCAGCGAAAACTCTTCTTAATTCTGTCAATTTGGTGTGATGTCGAGTTTTCTTCTGGACCATGTTCGGGCCTTCACCTACATAAAAACAACCAATGAACCTACTTCTGCGGATCAGGACTCCTACTTCTCAGTGGTGACCCTGCAACGTACGCCGCTGCTGGCTGCAGCAGAAGCCGGACGATTGGAGGCCCCGTGGTCGACGGCTGGCGTGAAGTCATTGGAGTTGTTTCGATTTAGATTTAGATGGCTGAAAAACTTTCTTCTTTCTTTGTTTCTAGTAGCAATGGCCTCCAACCTAAGAGCGATGGCCTCCAACCTACTAGCGATGGCCTCCAACCCACTAGCGATGGCCTCCTGAAGATATGACAGATGTAGATGTAGACCTTTTGACGATTTATCGGGACAAAGACAAAGCACGCTCCGCGGCAAGGTCCGCCCGCACCGCCATGAAACAGTTGCCCAGCAAAAACGTTTTTGAGGTTGATGTTGCCGAAAACGCCACTATGTACCGTATTTTACAGTGCTTTATGCTCTGTGAGGCAGACACCACTGCAAATAGCGATGTTTTTGAGCTTGCCGTGGCCCAAAACGCCGCTATATACAGTGTGTTTGAACCTGCTGTCCAAAAACACCGCAATGTGCGACATTTTCAATAACATGGTCGCCAAAAACACTGCTATTTGCAGGGTTTTTAACATTTTCACGCAAAGACATCAAGCCTCGACAATGTAAAGAACACAGCAAAAACCAATGTTATTTCTGCCCAACAAAAACGGCGAAAACCGTCACCCAAACAGCTCGGAAATCACAAAATCTGGCCCCTGGCCTCCCCACAAGACACATGGAACAAAACGCATCTCAAAACCGAAAATCGAAGCCAAACGTAAAGACACATGGTTTGTTCATGTTTTTCTTGCCGGTTCCGGGCGGGTGCGTGCACGAACTAGTCCATTCCGTGCTGTAAAAAACAGTGTTTTTTTAAGTCCGCTGTCGCGACCCACCAAAAACCAATTGTTATTGCAAAAAAAAGGGCCCCCTCCAGGTAAACCTGTACCTTACAGTTGTTTATGCCATCCGGATGATCACGCCCTGAGCACCTTCGGTGCGGGTGGATTTTGTGGCAAGAGTGCCGAAGATATGACCAATGATGTCGAATGCAGGGTGCTGGGATCCTGACGCCAGCCGCAACCGGGAGGTGAGCTTGTTATGAGGAAGAGAGCAAAAGACAGCATGCCAGGATCCGACTCCCTGATGGGAGGCCCATGCAAGATGATGAGCTGGTGGAAAGCGAGGAATTTGCAACAGTGCGATTCCAGCAAGGTTCTTGGAACCACGGGAGCCAGAGAGTGAGAATGAGACCGAGGAGGATGTCAACATGATGATGCCGGAAGCTGGAAATGATGAGCCAGCACCAAGTGGGGGAATAGACCCTACTATGAACCAGGCCACAGGGGCCCGGATTTCTGATGGTGAATTTAGAATGCTTGAAGATTTGGACAAAGCCAAACCCCGTGCATGTTTGAGAGCTCGACAGCATTTGCAGAAGCTGGAGAGCGAATGGTGGGCAGCTGACCAGAGGAGGGATAATGAATTGAAGATGAGGATTTACAATGACATGAACCATCATTATCCCTACCTCGACTGCCAAGCATTCCCTTCGCAATAGAGCGGTGAAATCAGAGCGCGATCTTAGCTACGTGCTCACGCTTTGAAGGAGGAGTGCGAAATTTAAGCTACTGAGATGTCATGTAAGATGACACACACACACACATATCGAGAACTGTACCGCAGGCTTTCGAGTTCATGAAAACGCCCGCAATAATATATATATATATATCGAAGGTGGGAGAAGATGCTGACAGAACAAGGCCGTGACCCTTTGCTTTTCCTGGACAAATTGAATAGTTATGCCAGTCAGCTTCAATAATTGGGTTGCTAAGGACAGCGACTCTCCAGAGTTTTGATCTCCCGTGAGACGACCCAGTCTCACGTGACCTTTGTGCGGTGCCACACTGCTGCGTGCTGTAGGCGGTTCAGCTCCTGGTGCGTGCCAAGGCGGAAGTGAACTATCAGGAACTGGCTCTGGAGCCCAAAGTTGTAGTGTGAACAGTTTCGGGGGAAGGCCAATTGAAATAACAGAGGCCGTCGCTATGAGGTTGGAGGCATCGCATCGCTATAAGGTTGGAGGCTATCGCTAGTACTCGTAGTTTCGGGGGCAAGCCAATTGAATGATTTTCTAGAAAATGTCACTCGAGGCGAATGTGAGAATCTGATCGCAAACTCGTGGAAGCGACCTGAAACATCCCTCGTCCTTTCAAGTAGGACACCTTTGGATCAAAACATTCTCGCAGAAATGTTCCCCTAAAGTTTTCGACTGTGTTCCACACATTCTCGCAGGACACCTCTGGCTTTCACGCCTTGTACCTGGCAGCTGGCTCCGGTGTTCCGGAGGTGGGAGCTTTTGGTGACGGGTGGCAGATTCGCAGATTCCGTGCAGCTTTGGAACAAGAAGATGAATCAGAAGACCCAATCCAAAAGATGAGTTCCCAATCAAAACACCTTCCAACAAGTTCATTTGAACTCTTTCCAAACATGGATTATGGGGTAATTGTTCTGTGGACATCAAGTGACCTCCAGATCTTCCGAGCTCCTTCTGAACGGCTTCAGCCAAGTAATACTGCCAGGTGGTGAGCTGTTTGCTGCTGCAAAATGCAGATCTGCATTTGAGGAGCCGAGCGGTGCACTGGAACTCATCGGCGCCGTCAAGAGAAGGGGATGGGATACGATCCAACACATCCACACAAATCACCCATGACGGGTGGATCGTGGAGTTTTTCCCAGAAATGTTTTTCGGAAAAGTGCAGGTCTTGGTATCATCCCTGCAGAACATTTTGTAATTCAAAGGCTATGGAGCAACATAGGCCAGATTTTGCTTGTGTTTTGTTTAGTCAAGTCGTGCACACATCAAAAGTGCAGATCCCTTGGGAGGTATTTATTTGCTGTTTGAAGGCTCAAGGTGATACTCAGCAAGCAGTTGAGCAAACATTTTTCTGCTAGGCAGCCTGCCGCAGTAGGCCCCTGTGCACTTGTGGCGTCCATGGACGCATGTCACCTATGCCATAAGATGACATTCATTGATGTCAAGAGGACAGAGCCATTGCAACGATCCCAAAGCTTACCTGCCTTGAAATCATCAAAGTCAGAAGAGGATGCAGAGATCGATGAGTACATTGAGCTATTGCAGACACGAGCCACCTACTCATACTGTTTCTTCCAGCGTATCCCGGCCCTCGGACCGGGCCAGCTTGCCGCGCCGGCGCCGCAGTGAAAGCTAAGGCCTTTAACAGGAGTCAGATGGATGGGCCAAAGTGACATGCTTCAGGTAGGCCGCTGTCACAGGTCACCTCATGGCTGTGAGCAATGGTCCTTGCGAGCAATAGTCCTGAGCAAGTCAGCCTCCGCGACATTGCCGGCATTACGCCATTTTCATGCATTTTCAGCATTTCCATTTTCAACACGATTTTTGGAGTTCACAGACATTCCGTTTCCTTTTGTCTTTGAGAGAAGAAGCGCTTAAAAAAGGCCACTGGTGCGACTGTCACTCCTCCCAGGTGTACTCATGAAGGCTTCCTCGTGGATGGGTTCCTTCGTGTCTATTAAAATTGGGAGACCTCTCAAAGACCTCAAGGAAGAAAGCAACATAGATCTGTCCACGTATTAAAATACTAGTAACAAGACGCTACTAGGAACAAAGGGCATCGCTATCTAGGAGCAAGAAGCTACTAGCAGCTCCTGGCATTTCTACTAGGAACAAGAAGCTACTAGAAACAAGGTTGCTTGTTTGGTCATGGATCACAGGGACCCCGGAATCCCGATATCGATCACATCCGGGCACCATGTGTCAGTCTGGAGACCTGGGGGACCTGGGCTGTTTGGAGACACTGGATTTCAGTTCCAGTTCGCACTTCGCTCCACCACAGCTGTTTGGAGAATACCAGACATTGGTTTCAGGAACATCTACAGGAAACCCGTAATTTTGAAGACCATGGTTTCAAATGGGGTCTGGGAGAGAAACTGAAGCCCTGCACTCCACATGGTTGATCACTGGACAACGCTGCAGGAACCGCAGCCGGGCACTCAGGGGGTTGCACTGGAGCAGTTGGGAATGACCGGAGATGGGCTGGTGAAGTCACCAGTAAGTTAAGTTGAGATCTAGATGACCCTGTTGGCAAATATCACCATCAAATACCTCCTCCTTTCATAGCAAGAGACCACATGAGTGCGAGGCTATTTGTGGATGTATAGTGTACATTACGTATTTCCATTGTTTTTTTTGGTTGGGTAGATGATTCATTTTGTGGCTGAGCGCTTGCCGGCCTTTGAGACAGGCAGATTTGTTCTCAAACTCGGGTATGATTTTTCATCCAAATATCACATGCTCGAGACGAGAGGGTGTTTGTAGGCAGAATGCACGATGGCGGAGTCAATAATATCACACCGTTGGCTACACTTTTTGTTGAGCAGACAGAGGAAGCTTTCTTTTCCAACGACGGACGGTGCATCCAGGAGCCCAAATCTTTGCCGCCACCGCATCGTCCACGCTGGTTCCCCCCCATCGTCCATCGCCCGTGCGCATCCCACGGCATCCCGACTGGAGCGCTCAGCAGGCGCAGTCGGTGGCGGGCGCAGTCCGTGGCAGCGCCTTTTTCCGGGGCTCAGGTGGCTATACAGCCCTGCACAATGCAGTCGGATGTGGCCAGGCCGAGTGCATCAAGGTGCTTTTGCAGGCTGGGAAAGAAGTTTTTCCCCAAACAGGTTTACCTGTGAGGGGTTCTTACTCCTTTTAAAGGGGTGCATGCTCGGGCCGGATGATTTTGAGTTTGTCTCCGGGCTTGTGTTCCTGGCCGCATGATTTCACCCTTGTCTCCCACTTGTCTCCCACTTGTCTCCCAGTAAGCTTTGGATGCTCTCAGTGCTCTGGCCGCATGATTTTATACTTGTCTCCCATTTGTCTCCCACTTGTCTCCCAGTTGTCTCCCACTTGTCTCCCAGTTGTCTCCCAGTAAGCTCTCGATGCTCTCAGTGCTCTGGCCGCATGATTTCAGGCTTGTCTCCCATTTGTCTCCCATTTGTCTCACTTGTCTCCCAGTAAGCTCTGGATGCTCTGAGTGCTTGGCCGCATGATTTCACACTTGTCTCCCATTTGTTTCCCACTTGTCTCCCGCTTGTCTCCGAGTAAGCTCTGGATGCTCTGAGTGCTCTGGCCGCATGATTTCACACTTGTCTCCCACTTGTCTCCCAGTAAGCTCTGGATGCTCTGAGTGCTCTGGCCGCATGATTTTATACTTGTGTCCCATTTGTTTCCCACTTGTCTCCCAGTAAGCTCTGGATGCATGATTTTATACTTGTCTCCCATTTGTCTCCCACTTGTCTCCCACTTGTCTCCCAGTGAGCTCTGGATGCTCTCAGTGCTCTGGCCGCATGATTTTATACTTGTCTCCCATTTGTCTCCCAGTAAGCTCTGGATGCTCTCAGTGCTCTGGCCGCATCATTTCACGCTTGTCTCCCATTTTTCTCCCACTCGTCAAGCTCTGGATGCTCTCAGTGCTCTGGCCGCATGATTTCATACTTGTCTTGCATTTGTCTCCCATTTGTCTCCCACTTGTCTCCCAGTAAGCTCTGGATGCTCTGAGTGCTCTGGCCGCATGATTTCAGACTTGTCTCCCACTTGTCTCCCAGTAAGCTCTGGTTGCTCTAGTGCTCTGGCCGCATGATTTCACACTTGTCTGCCATTTGTCTCCCATTTGTTTCCCACTTGTCTCCCAGTAAGCTCTGGATGCTCTGAGTGCTCTGGCCGCATGATTTCACACTTGTCCCCCACTTGTCTCCCAGTAAGCTCTGGATGCTCTGAGTGCTCTGGCCGCATGATTTGTGTTGCAGTTTGCCAAAGGGACAGCTCGCCATCTTGCGACATGTTATCAGACAAGCTTTGTTACTGATTGCTTTTCGCGAGTGTTGCAACATGCGGAAAGCGCGAAAAGCTCCATCCCAATGGCTGCCCGTCTGGAAGTGCCAGTTTCAGAAGGAGAATCCTAAGAAGGCAGGCCATCATGAGAGCTTGGTTTTGGATCCAACAACATGGATATATAGTCGGATATATATATATATATATACACTTTTTAATGTATGTATGTATGTATGTATGTATATGTTTATTTGTAGCATATGCAGATGTATGTTTACATATATATAAATGGTATGTAAAATGCGGTCTATATATACATATGTATGTTTTTAAGTCTTTGAGTATGCAAACATGTTCTGTGTCATGGCAAGCGGCAGGCGCATTCTCTTGCTTGGCACCGCTTTACAAGTTATGCTGCGGCTGTGACTATTGGAGAAGCTTTTTTGCGGCGGAGCCAATCACAGGGACTTGGATTTTGATTATCAACGAGGCTATATGACGTGTCCTGAAGCAGATGAGCAGATTAAAGCTGATTTGGAGGAGCAGGTTGGGGTTGCTGGGAGGGAGGCTTTGATCTATGGATTGCTTTTTGTTACGGCTGCTATGTTTTTGTACTTTTGAGCTTTGCAAGTGGCGCTATTCGGTGAGCGCATTGGAGGAAAGTCTTGTTGAAGCTCACGGGCCTGAAGCTCCAGATCACGACGGAAAACCGGCAGAGAAGGCATTGTTGCTTTAGTGGTGTGCCATTCAATTAAAGCTTTGCTTTGCTTTGAGATATGAATGAACATGTAAGCAAGCGTGTTCTTTTGCCAGGATTTGGTGGCAATTCATGTGAATGAGGATGATTTGCCGGCTGTGGCAGTTTGTGATCGATTCTTGTTGGAGACTATGGTCAATGGAAAGACAGATGCAGCTGAGAAAAGTTTGCCGGATAACGATATCATCTTTGTTGTTAGCAAGGGCGTTCAGACCGATATAACAGAGCTTGGGGCTTTGTCCTGCACTTCTGCTTGCGCTGGGGGTCACTCTCAGTGATGGATGGTTGATTGTATCGATGTCAACATTTTGGTCGCAGTCACGCGGCATGTGACATGATGAAAAGCGGAATGCATATATACTGTGTGACCCTTTTTGGCGCCTGGCTGCCCTGACTCTGAAGAGTCGTTGTGGCAGATGGCCTGCTGCGGGTTCATGAGGGTTGCGTGATGGTAGCCAAAAAGAAGATGTTTTTACTGACTTGCGAAAGCCAGCATGTTTGAATGCTTTTTTGCCGTTGCGGTGCTTGTCAAACACTGTTCGCAGCAGAGCAATGCCATTGCGTAACCATGTGTTCAGGATCGAGGAAGTTTGTTTGTTTTTTTATTTTTTAATTCTTTTTTACATATCTTTTCGGGATGCTGAAGTGAGCAGACATTAGCATTGTTTGCAAGAGTCGTGCGGTTTTTGCGCTTGCTTCAAGAATTCAATTTGTTGATCAAGGATTTCTTTTTGCCAGATTGGGTGTAAACAACACTTTCGATCTTTTAGGGGGGGGGCAGGGCAGCGCAAAAAACATTTTCAACTGCACTGACAACATTCAAACAACATACCAAGGGAATGATCACAAGGGTTCACCGTAATGTTCTTGCGTCGCAACACGATTCCACAGGAAACGGGCCTTGTGACGAGTAAAAAATCCGTAGAAGTGCGGCTTCAAGTCAAGTATGGCTATGCTGTGCCGCGAATTGATTTTGCGTTTTGATTTGCAAATGTTATTCCTTGTCACAGCCTTTGTTTTATGTTCGGAGTGGGTGCATGTAGACACGATCATTGCGTTGGACGTGATAGGCACGACAGCTGAACGATGTATTGCGGAAAATGCAGCGGCGCAAAAGCTTGTCAGTCAAAGTACGTGAAGGTTGGCCTTGCAAGTCTCGTTGAGCGCTTGAAAGCTTGGTTACCGCGCCAGAATTGCCATGAATTTCATTTTGTTTAATGTGCCGAGCTCGCCAAATTGCAGAATCGCAGACAGCTCTCACAAGTAATGTGCAGATAGAAGAACCTAAAAATCAAGAAGGTTGCAACGGCTTGCTCTCCAACACCAGTGCTGCAACCTGCCGCACGCGACCGCCTTTGCACGCTGGAGCAAGTGACCGCTCGTGACCCCGCCGCAAATGCGCTGCAAGTGAATCCAGCAAGTAACCGCCACTGCCCGCT